TAAATAGACTTAGCCAATTTCTCCAAGCACCAACTGATACTCATTGGAAAGTACTGAAAAGGGTATTTAGATACCTGAAAGGAACACTCAACTATGGGTTTGCAATCTACAAAAATGACAAACTCAACATAACTTCATTTGCAGATTCTGACTGGGCATCTTGCCCAGATGATCGAAGGTCCACAGCAGGTTATTGCGTGTACCTTGGAGATAACTTAGTCTCTTGGTGCTCAAAGAAACAACAAGTGGTTGCAAGATCCATCACTGAAGCAGAATATCGAGCACTCACCGACGGTGCATCTGAGATCACGTGTATTCAATCCCTGTTGAATGAACTGAACCTACCACAGATGACAACTCCCAAAATCTGGTGCGATAATTTAAGTGCAAGTGCACTAGCTTCAAATCTGGTTTACCATACACGAACAAAACACATCAAATTTGATGTTCACTTTGTAAGAGACAAAGTGTTAAGAGGAGAATTGGAAATCAGTTATGTACCATCTTCGGATCAGACAGCTGACCTATTAATCAAACCTCTTGCTAACTCCATATTCTTGTTTTTAAGAGACAAGCTTGGAGTGTTAGAAATACACTCCACCTTGAGAAGGGGTGTTAAAGTTTGCACTACAAATAAACCATCAAAATAACCAATTCTTAGTGGAATTCACAGCACGTCTATTTTGTCCTTGGAGGAATATAATTTGTTAGCCAGCTAACAATGGAGCTATTATGGAAAATAAAATATTCCTTTTGTATGTAATTTATGTATATAGGTTCTATATGTATATAAGGCAAGCTCCAGTAGGATCGTCATTGTAATTCTTCTGTCATTTTATTGATATATAAGATTCAGTTTCTTTTTAACCGTAAGCTGATTGAATACCCACAGGGGAGAATAGGATTGATTGAAGAAATTTCCAGCCCCATTTGCATTTGTGTATGAAACCAAGAGAAGAATAACAAAGACAAGTAAATTCAAGAAAGCAATTAAATAAAATTAGAGGGCAAGCAATTATATATATATATATGTGTGTGTGTGTGTGTGTGTTCTAATGAACATCTGTACTCATCTTATATTAAGCACCGGTGACGTATCATATAAATCAATTGGTGGATTTTATACTTAATTCAAATATTGAGGTCCACCATTATGCACCAAATGATTTTAAGTGTTGGAAAATGGCTTATAATGGGGCTATTTTGACATAATTTTGAGTGGAATCCATTCATTCTTCTTTAAAGATCAAAGTAGACTCATGTTCCCTTCCATGAGAATATTGAAATCATATATTTACTTGCCAAACTTGATGCTCGGGTGAATAAAAAATTGAAGTTCAAAGTATACCTATCGGAAGGAGTTTTTGTGTTAGTATTTAGTAAGAATTTTTTTTAGTTTGTCTTACATAAGAAAATGG